GTGCGAATCAGATCCTTTAGGTTGCCTCAGCGTTGTATGCCTCTCCTCACGCATGCCGGAAACCGGCGTGCCGCCGCTGCGGCACTGGCTGCCCGGCCCCTGGCCCGGGCCCGGGCGGCCTCAGCCGCGACGCCGTGACGGTCGCCGGGCCGGGCCTCAGTCCGGGGCCCCCGGGGCCGGGCGGACTAACTAGTATAACTTTGGATGGGCCGCACCCCAGGGCCACCCACCCACCGTCACCCGTGGTGCCATATGAGGAGGGGCGGGAAAAGAGGGGGTAGGGTAGGGTGGGGTCACTGGAGTCATCAACCTCGACTCCCCAAGCGCGCCAAGGCGCCGCGATGAAAGTTGGTGGGCGGCAACCGTGATGCACGGACGAGAGTTGAGCGAGATGAAGTGAAGAGATGAAACATGAGCGAGTGATACACACTTGTACATGACAGGTGCATGATGAGGTAGAGAGAGCACTGTATCTATATAACGCCAGAGCCGTTCTCCTACACTTGAGCTCGTCCTGTACACTGCTGCTGCCTTGTCGATTGCCAGGATGTCCTTTCAGACTTCACCGCGTGTCTTCGACTACATTCCAAGATTCTTCACGGAAAACCTTAAGACCAGCCCAAGACATCTCGATCCGTACGAAACCAGTCCTCGGAGTATCGACGCCGAGGACTTGTTGAGAAGGGTTCTCGTAATGAATGATAAACTCAGTGTTCAAGATTTCCTGAGCGCACAGGATGCAGGTACAGATTTGCCGCTCAAGACATGATACCAATGATTCTTTTACAGGAGCCTTGCTGTCACTAGTTGACCTGGAATTGGATACTCAAGGAGCTCAAGTCGATCGAAGGAGGCACGGTTGCAAAATGACGACGTGATGAGCTCAATTTCTTACTTGAACGGCAGAGATCGTCAAGCTCGCGATCAACGTCCTGCGAAATCAAATCTCGATGATAAAATCAGAGAATGCCGGGTTACAGATGGAATGCGATCATTCTAAGAAACGAATTGCTGAACTGGAGCAAGAACAAAGTTTCTCACATCAGTCACTGGAATCAATCCGGACAAGCACTTCAATGCTTTCAGAGAAAACGTTTTCTAAAGCCAAAGATGGCTTCCTAGCAGAACAGAGTCGATTGAATTCTATCATCGAAGGGCTCAAAATGAAACTTCGATCCTCGGAGCAATCCCTGCAATTATTGGAGAGTAAGCTTAAGAACTGTGAATCTGAGAATCAAAATCTTCAATCAAGAATGTCGCAGAATGATGCCGTATTTGCGGCAAGGGAAAAGTCACATGAGACGGAGGTGAAGGCTTCCATTAGTGTTGAGAGTTCTTTACCACCCTTGATATTCAGATGAGGGATTCTCTGCAGGATTTGGAAGCAATGGTCCATGAGAACAGTTTACTAAAGCAAAAGATACTTTCTACACAGGATGTGAGCATTCTTTTTCCTTGCTACACCTTGCAAGAACAAAATCTACACTCGTTGTTTCTTGCTGCTTTCTGATTGATATGATGAACAGGAAATGGTGCTTCTACACAGTAAGCTAAGTGCTCTCAATCATGACCTTATCAACTACGAGAAGAAGGTTTTCAATTCACAAGTTCTTTTCTCTCTTATTTTTGTGCTTAACAGTTAGATGAGAGTAACGGCGGTAACTTTCTCTTTTAAATGAATCTTGCACAAAACAAATTAACCGTTGTCGTTCAGAAGCTCGAAAGTGGAAGGCGAATGCAGATCAACAATATTTTGCGCTTTCTGCCATGACGAAGGATCGTGATAGACTGCATGATCTTGTTGACAGTACGCAAAGGAGGTTTGATGACGAAAGGGCAAGATTTTCGAAGTATCGAGACCGAATGAAAAAGTTGTAGAAACTTCCAGCTAGGCTCTTCTGCTGACCTCGTTAATAATTAGGTCAAGAGCTGCAAGGCTTGAAAGAAGCGTCAAAATGAAAGCCATTGCATCACTTGCCGTGCTCATGCTTCACAACAAAGTTGTCTCTCGATCTGAAAGGTCGCGAGGTTTGAAAATCAGAACTACATGTACCGTTGCTTTAATGATTTCAAGTGAGTATTCCCGCCTTTATGTAGATTGACATAACCTTTTATGCAGAGGCATTCCATTCCATCTGCAATATGATGGTAAAGGGCAGATGTTCTCATTCTGGCAACCTTATTTCCAGATTTCTTGTGAAAACAAGAGGAGTCATCACGAGAGAACAGAAATTGTGTCGTGAATTTTTTGGAATTTGGAAGAGAGCTGCACAACGAACTTCGAGGCTCAAAATGAAGATCAGAGCCCTTTATTTCAGAAGGAAAAAATGGAACACGACTGAAGTTTTTGGTAAATGGGTTGATACTCACCGACAGGAGATCGCAACAAAAAATAGAGTCGTCCATATCATCATGAGCTGCAGAAGAAAGACACTAGAATACTTCTTTGAAAGACTCAGCGATAATGTGCGCGAAAACAAACAAACGAAGCAAAACACAGAAGAGCAAAGAAAACGAGCAGAAGAAGAAACCAAATACCAAAACATTGTGGAAAGCTTCCAAAGAGAAAAAGAGGAAAAAAGAAACAAAATAGTGCAAATTGCGAAACAAACAATTAACCGTATGTTCCATATTCAGCTTGCGACAGCGTTCGACAGCTACCGGGAGCGGGTGGATCAGCGGAAGGAGCGAAGGACCCTGTGCAGGCGGGTGGTGGAGAGGATGCTGCAAGCTCGGCTAGCAGCAGCCTTCGACCGTTTCCAGGAGGCGGTAGAGGGGATGGCGAGGCAGCGGGCGAGGGTGACGGCAGTGATCGGACGGTGGACACAGCCTTGGGTCAGCCTATGCTTTGAGAGCTGGCTGGAGGCCACGGACGAGGCTCGACGGGCACGGGCGGCGGAAGGGCTTGAGGAGGTACAGGCAGAGCTGACGGCAGAGGCAGAGAAGCAGAGGGAGTATGCGGAGCGCTACATCGAGCTACGCAAGGAGCAGAGCCGGAAGGTGATCAAGCGGATGTTCCATATTCAGCTTGCGACGGCGTTCGACAGCTACCGGGAGCGGGTGGATCAGCGGAAGGAGCGAAGGACCCTGTGCAGGCGGGTGGTGGAGAGGATGCTGCAAGCTCGGCTAGCAGCAGCCTTCGACCGTTTCCAGGAGGCGGTAGAGGGGATGGCGAGGCAGCGGGCGAGGGTGACGGCAGTGATCGGACGGTGGACACAGCCTTGGGTCAGCCTATGCTTTGAGAGCTGGCTGGAGGCCACGGACGAGGCTCGACGGGCACGGGCGGCGGAAGGGCTTGAGGAGGTACAGGCAGAGCTGACGGCAGAGGCAGAGAAGCAGAGGGAGTATGCGGAGCGCTACATCGAGCTACGCAAGGAGCAGAGCCGGAAGGTGATCAAGCGGATGTTCCATATTCAGCTTGCGACGGCGTTCGACAGCTACCGGGAGCGGGTGGATCAGCGGAAGGAGCGAAGGACCCTGTGCAGGCGGGTGGTGGAGAGGATGCTGCAAGCTCGGCTAGCAGCAGCCTTCGACCGTTTCCAGGAGGCGGTAGAGGGGATGGCGAGGCAGCGGGCGAGGGTGACGGCAGTGATCGGACGGTGGACACAGCCTTGGGTCAGCCTATGCTTTGAGAGCTGGCTGGAGGCCACGGACGAGGCTCGACGGGCACGGGCGGCGGAAGGGCTTGAGGAGGTACAGGCAGAGCTGACGGCAGAGGCAGAGAAGCAGAGGGAGTATGCGGAGCGCTACATCGAGCTACGCAAGGAGCAGAGCCGGAAGGTGATCAAGCGGATGTTCCATATTCAGCTTGCGACAGCGTTCGACAGCTACCGGGAGCGGGTGGATCAGCGGAAGGAGCGAAGGACCCTGTGCAGGCGGGTGGTGGAGAGGATGCTGCAAGCTCGGCTAGCAGCAGCCTTCGACCGTTTCCAGGAGGCGGTAGAGGGGATGGCGAGGCAGCGGGCGAGGGTGACGGCAGTGATCGGACGGTGGACACAGCCTTGGGTCAGCCTATGCTTTGAGAGCTGGCTGGAGGCCACGGACGAGGCTCGACGGGCACGGGCGGCGGAAGGGCTTGAGGAGGTACAGGCAGAGCTGACGGCAGAGGCAGAGAAGCAGAGGGAGTATGCGGAGCGCTACATCGAGCTACGCAAGGAGCAGAGCCGGAAGGTGATCAAGCGGATGTTCCATATTCAGCTTGCGACGGCGTTCGACAGCTACCGGGAGCGGGTGGATCAGCGGAAGGAGCGAAGGACCCTGTGCAGGCGGGTGGTGGAGAGGATGCTGCAAGCTCGGCTAGCAGCAGCCTTCGACCGTTTCCAGGAGGCGGTAGAGGGGATGGCGAGGCAGCGGGCGAGGGTGACGGCAGTGATCGGACGGTGGACACAGCCTTGGGTCAGCCTATGCTTTGAGAGCTGGCTGGAGGCCACGGACGAGGCTCGACGGGCACGGGCGGCGGAAGGGCTTGAGGAGGTACAGGCAGAGCTGACGGCAGAGGCAGAGAAGCAGAGGGAGTATGCGGAGCGCTACATCGAGCTACGCAAGGAGCAGAGCCGGAAGGTGATCAAGCGGATGTTCCATATTCAGCTTGCGACGGCGTTCGACAGCTACCGGGAGCGGGTGGATCAGCGGAAGGAGCGAAGGACCCTGTGCAGGCGGGTGGTGGAGAGGATGCTGCAAGCTCGGCTAGCAGCAGCCTTCGACCGTTTCCAGGAGGCGGTAGAGGGGATGGCGAGGCAGCGGGCGAGGGTGACGGCAGTGATCGGACGGTGGACACAGCCTTGGGTCAGCCTATGCTTTGAGAGCTGGCTGGAGGCCACGGACGAGGCTCGACGGGCACGGGCGGCGGAAGGGCTTGAGGAGGTACAGGCAGAGCTGACGGCAGAGGCAGAGAAGCAGAGGGAGTATGCGGAGCGCTACATCGAGCTACGCAAGGAGCAGAGCCGGAAGGTGATCAAGCGGATGTTCCATATTCAGCTTGCGACGGCGTTCGACAGCTACCGGGAGCGGGTGGATCAGCGGAAGGAGCGAAGGACCCTGTGCAGGCGGGTGGTAGAGAGGATGCTGCAAGCTCGGCTAGCAGCAGCCTTCGACCGTTTCCAGGAGGCGGTAGAGGGGATGGCGAGGCAGCGGGCGAGGGTGACGGCAGTGATCGGACGATGGCTTAGCCCTTTGCTTTCTGTTGTTTTTTTGGAGTGGGCCTCCTTTGTCCTTGATCGTTCTGAGTTTCTTGACGTCGGCTGCATGACAGATGCAGGGGTTGTGTTTGATGAAGAAATTTCAGCGCTGAGGGAGCAGCTTTCAGACGCTCTTTCAAGGGAGGAATACTTGATACGAGTCAGTAAGAAGAAGTCGAAGGAGAACCAAGAAATTCTCGAAGATGCCAATTCTTTGCGTCAACGTTGCTCTGATTTAGAAAAGACCAACGCATTCTGCTCATTCAGTTCTTTCGCCATCTTTCGTCGATATCAAAGTTCTTGCCGGAAGGTAACAAATTTGATATATGTTCTTCTCCTTGGACATGCGCTACTCACACGTTCTTTGTATCTCATCTCAGGCAACACACTGGGCATGTCAACGCCATCAGCACAGATTCACCTTGTCGAAGTGCTTCGTGCTCTGGAGTCAAGTGGTTGAGACTGCATTCTACCACAACACGTCAATGTCTTCTTGCTTATCCTGCACGACTGACTAGCGGAGCAGTTATCTGGTTCCTCGGATGCAGTCAAAGACATCGAGGAGAAATCTCCTCTCCATCCTTCAGGGTAGACTGGTTGTGGTTGTCATCGGCTCGCTGGCATGACAACATCGTCTCGCAGGTTGGCGGGCGCTCAGCTTGAGGCTCAGGATCATTTCCAGATGGTTGACGCATACCATCGCACAAGATGAGACTCTCTTGACAGTTGCTTTCACACACAGGCGACTCAGGAAGCAGGAGAAAGGCTCGTCAGAGCTCTTGTCAGGTTTCCTCGCTCGGTCAGTCTCGGGCCTCCCGGCCCACTGAACTTGCGCTGCCCCGGTCAGGCTAACTGAAGCGTTTGCAGATGGAGGGAGCAGGCCTCTCCCGACCTCGTCTCCACTTTCTGTTGAGCCTCGGCGACGTGGCTGTTGTATCCATGAGGACCCGGAAGTCACGGATACTTTCCCGGATACTCTCTTCAAGTTTTAGAGCGCCGCGGCAGTCATCAGCGACGCTCCTCCTCCTTCCTCCCCTTGCGCGTGCACTGCAGCAAGCGTCACAGTGGTGTTGGTGCAGTACGTAGTTGACTTCAAGTAAACTTAGAGACTTCTATCCCTGAGACTCGGTGACTCTGTCCGAAGTTCCGAGTCTCTACTCGTAGCGTCGTTGATCTTTCAAGTTTGTGTTGTGTAGGTGATACAACCGTTGGCCATCGGATAGGCCCCGTGATTGCCGGCGGACCGTACGCGCCCAGAAGCTGTGAACTATACAGGTGCCACTTGCTTTGGGTGAAGTCAACGACTCAAGTTTTGACTGGAAACGGAGTCCGAGAGTCTCGCTGTTCAGTACAGTGTGACTCCAGTGCCACTGTGACTGTTGACCACATAGGATGAGTGACAGCCTGTGGCAGTCGGTCAAACTGACTAGCAGTGTCAGCCTGTGCCCAGCTGAGTGCCAGTGACCCCGGTCGCCGGTTCACGGGCCGCAAGTTGGGCAGGCTGCGTGACAGTGACTGGAACTTGGAACGTCCGTTGAACAGCGGGCGTTACGGATTTAACGGTCTGGGCCGGCAGGCTGTAACGACCAACATGATGACGGTTACGTCATGTTTTGTCTCCTTGCATGGGACATGTGTCAGTAAGATTGAAGGCGTCTCATATATTTCAAAAATAAAATCTGAATATTTGAAAACTAAGAGAATTATTTGAAAGTATCCTTCGAATTAGCAAACTGATTGGACAGGTTTCCCTACATACTACCCCTATCTACCGGTATAAGTACCCCCACCCCCCATCTTGTAGGTCAGATGGGTAAGCGAAAATTGGATATGGAATCCTAACTACCCCTACCCCCACCTCGGAACAACCCCGGAATATCCACTGTACCCCACCACTTTCATGACCCTACCCCCTCAAAATGATCCAATTTCAGTAAAGACATAGAAAAGTTGATTCCCCACCCCACCTCCTAGTGGCCCATCACGAACCACCCACCCACCCCATTTAAGACTTTACTAGTACCAATCATATCTCCCTTTCCTCATCTCCATTCCCTCCCTCCCTTCCGCCCCCGTTCTCTCCTCCTCTCTCTCTCCTCCCTCTCCCTCCCGTTCCACCAACTCCCTGTCTTCTTCCCTCTCCTGCCTCCAACTCCCCGACTTCTCCACTTCTACACCGTCAACCTCTCCGTCTCCTCTGTCTTCTCTTCCTCTTCGTCCTCTTGTTCTCCTGCTCTACCTCGAATATCCTCCTCCTCTGTCACAGTTTTTCCTTCCCCTTCCCTCCTTTCTTGCATCAACTCATTCCTACAATGTCTGCGGTGGCAAGCAAGCCTTCCGCGCAAGACCCTTCCTCCGAGCTTCCTGGAGCAACAGCTCCCTGTGTGAGAAACAGGGTGTTGGAGAGGGTTGTACATCCTTCTCCGAGAGGAGAGGACCTGAGGATAGCAGACAAGTACTTCTTCCAGGAGCTCAGCAAGAGCGCTGGGAACGAGGCAGGGATGAGATGGCTGCACGAGCGGGTGGTGAAGAGTGACCCGTATGCTGGGGTGTCGAACGGGTGCTCGAGCACAGCACTCTCAGACTACGAGACGAGCGAGGAGGATGAGGAGGACGAGGATGAGGGGGAAGGGGGCAACCTGATGGACTTTGCGTTTGTTGAGAAGTATCGGAATAGTCAGAGCCAGCACTTGGAGCCGACATGCGTCTACGCCCTCCTGAACGAAGGATATGAGAGCATGATGAACAGACTGTGGTCATGGCTCGTGGTCATGTTCGCTTTCCTCGGGTGGTTCCAGCCCAGGGGGGAGGAGGTGAAACTGGAGGAGAGTGCGCCGGTGGAGGAGATCAGCGAGGTGGTAGCGGAGGAGGCAAGCAAGGACAAGGAGGAGACGAAGTCACAGCAGTCGGAGGAGGATGGGATCAATCGCAGCAGCAGCACAGAAGGAGAGTCCTCGTCTCTACCCCGTCCTCGACCCAGAAAGTCGTCCTCGCTCGGTCGCATGCTGAGGACGGTCGATAAGGAAAAGAAAGGGCTGATCTACACTGACGCGGCTCACCTTCTGTGGGACTGAAGGAGGAGCCGAGGTGTTCGTCTCCTGCTCCTGCTTCCCTCCTCATCAATCTTCATCGTTACCGTGTTATCTTGTAGTATGAATATGCGTTTCCTGTGTTCTATTGAACTGCAAAGAGCTTTCATGCTCGGGTCTTGTAAGCGTCAGAAGCTAGTTGGTGATCTCAAGATCGATTTGATCTCCTCCTGCCTCTCTCGCCGCCGCCTCCTCCTTCTTCTTCGCCTCCTCCTTCAGCTCCGGCGAGCGCAGGGGGACCCAAAGATTCTTGTAGGCGGCAAGGGGGCATCCTGAGAAATGTCGGAGTCAGAGAGAAAGAGGAACCGTGATATGACGATGACGTTGACGATGATGATGATGATGATGATGATGATGATGACGACGACGACGACGACGACGACGATGATGATGATGATGATGATGATGAGGAGGAGGAGGAGGACTACGACGAAGATAAACAATGATGATGAAGGAGTTGATGGTGGTGATTTTGGTAGTGCTGATGCTGATGCAAGAACATGTTCCACCTGTAGCGATGGATGGGATTCCATTCAACCTCCTGAGCTCTTCAACCTACTCAGCCCATTCAGTTCGAGTTTCCTGCGCCTGCGCCTGCGCCTGCGCCTGCTCATTCCATCTGTTTTCGCTACCCATAGGCATCCTTGACTTCCTCCTCTTCCTTCTCACCTTACAGCCAAACTTGAGGGCCAGGCCCTCAAGCGTTTCTGTTCCTTCTAACCTGCAGATGAAGACCCTCACTGCCAGGCAGAGAGCAGGAGAGGAGAGGAGAGGGGAGGGGAGGGAAGAGGAGAGGAGAGGAGAGGAGAGGAAGGGAGGGGAGGGGAGAGGAGAGGAGAGGAGGGGAGAGGAGAGGAGAGGGGAAGGGGAGGAGGGGAGGAGGAGGAGCACCTGTACTTCATGAGCTCAACATCTCGTTGGATGGAGGAGAGGTCCATGCCCGAGAACGAGGAGGAGGTTTTGCTCATCATGGCCTGCTGTCGGCTGGTCAGCGAAAAGAGTGAGGAAGAGAGACTCACGGAGTCAGATGAAGCGAAGGAGGAGGAAGTGAAGCCGTTGGGAGGCAAGTTGACGGTCTGGGGGAAAGTTAGAGAAGGAGTGAAGCGATGGGTAGGAGGAGAAAAGGAGAGCGAGGGAGAGGAGGTGAGGAGGAGGAGGAGGACGAGGACGAGGAGGGAGCATAGTGGTGGTGGTGGTGGTGAGGATGAGGAGCTTACTTCTCGAGCATGAGGAGCAGCTGAGAATGGTTTGAAGATCGGAGCGGAGGAGCTGCAGGAGGATCAGACGGGACGGAGACGGTCGAGAGTTGTCACGGAGGAGGAAGGCGGCGAGGGAGAAGAGTTCCTTTGCCGTGCTCCTGCAGAAAGAGATTGAGGAGGGAGGAGGGTGGAGGGAGGAGGGAGAGTTGAAGCACCTGAATGACTTGCGTGATGAGCTTCGCCATGTCGCTGGGGTCCTGAAGGAGGAGGAGAGATGAGAGGACGTTCTTGACTCTCCTCCCTCCCTCACCTCAGGTGACAGGTACAAAGTTCTTGTCCACGTCAACAGCCGGCACAACATGCTCCTCCTGTGTAGAGCTTCAGTACGAAACCCTCCTTCCCTCCCTCCCTCTCCCTGCCTCCCTCCTTCTCCCTCCCTCCCTCCCTGCCTGCCTTCCCTCGCTCCTGCTGACGCTTCTCGCTCTCCTGCATCCACCGCCCCCGCCTCCTTCCCATCATTTTCTTCTGCTCCTGTCTCTGCTCCCCACCTCAGCCCCTCCTACCTGTAGAGCACACAACAGAACTGCCGGGAGCGAAAGTTTGTGCGCGGCGGAGGAAGGCAGAGGGGAGGAGAGAGGCAGTCGGCTGTGATTTGGATGAGCTCATGGAAGGGAGAAGAGGGAAGAAGGGAGAAGAGGAGAGGAATGAGGAGGAGGAGAGAGGAGGAAGAAAGAGGGAGGGGATAGACGAGAAGGAGAGACAGAGAGGAGAATGGAGGGAGAGGAGAGGAGAGGAGCAGAGGAGAGGACGAGAGGAGGACGAGAGAAGAAGGAGAGGAGGAGAGGAGAGGAGAGGAGAGGAGAGGATAGGAGAGGAGAGGAGAGGAGAGGATAGGATAGGATAGGATAGGATAGGATAGGATAGGATAGGATAGGATAGGAGGAGGGGATAGACCTCTTTTAACATCAGCAGAGATTATGTCGGAGATTAGAATGGAGTAGGAGGGGGTACTTTCAAGCATGTCAGCACTTGTCACCACCCCTCCTCCTTCCTCGCACCACATATGGTAGCAAGGACTCCACCACCACTTGCTCCGAGCCCAAGAAACCTGCAGATACGTCAGCAGCAGCGAAGGGAACAGGGAAGGAGGAGGGGGTTCTGGAGAGGAAGAGAGGGCGGGGAGGAGGCGGGGCTCAGAGTAGGAGGCGGAGAGAGGAAAGAGGAGGAAGAAGAGAGAGGGGGAGAGGAGAAGAGGGGAGGAGAAGCGAGGAGGAGGAGGGGGCGGAGGAGGAGGAGGGAGGAGGAGGAAGAGGAGGAGGAGGTGAGGGAGGAGGAGGTGAGGGAGGAGGAGCGGGAGAAAGTTGGGGGGAGGTAGGCTCGTAGGTCGTGTCTTACGAATATGCAGGCGAGTGCGAGTTAGCTGATACTTGACAGGCACGTGAATGAGGGTGAGGATGATCGAAATCCCCAACCCCAGCAGGGAGACAATAACGAGGAAGAAGCTGTCCTTCCAGAAGACTCCTACTGCCCCGTTATCTCCTCCTCCTCCTCCTCCTCCTCCTCCTTCACCACCACCACCACCTCCTCCCCTTCTTCCTCCTCCTTCACCTTGCTCCTCCCACCCGTGCGGCACTGGCACGATGGCAAGGAAAAGAGCCGGGAGCAACCCGACGGCAAGGCCGTTGAGGAGGAGAGCGAGGTGGAACAAGAGCGAGGGTCGAACAGCAGGGAACGAGGCTGGGAGGCCCTTGATAGGAAGCTTTTCGTTCTTGTCATCCTCCTCCTCCCACCCGTTCTCCATGACCTCCTCCTCCTCCGTCCGATTCTTTTCATTCCTGCAGTGAGGGCTCTCGTCAGATTCGAGCCTCCTCCCCCGATCATCTCCTCTGCTCTGCTCTGCTCTGCTCTGCTCTGCTCTGCTCTGCTCTGCTCTGCTCTGCTCTGCTCTGCTCTGCTCTGCTCTGCTCTCCTCTCCTCTCACCGATTCTTCATGTTGTTTCCACCGGAATTCTTGAGGTAACGCATGAAACACGAAGCGTCGAAGGCTGGCTGATCACAAAGCTGACATGTCCGAGCGAGCTGGCGATTTCCCGAGAAGAGAAGGTTGTTCTCATTCAAAAGATCATACGAAGATGCTCAGGAAGTTGGTCTTGTTGATCAGATCTGCGAGGATCTCGGTTACAGCATCGTAACGCCGGAGCTCCACACATTTTCTTCATATGGCATCCATCAGACTTGCTTGAGGCACTAGGAAGTGAACTAGGAGGTGAGCTAGGAGGTGAGCTAGGAGGTGAACTAGGAGGTGAGCTAGGAGGTGAACTAGAAGGTGAGCTAGCAGGTGAGCTAGAAGGTGAACTAGGAGGTGAACTAGGAGGTGAATTTCCCTCCCGTTTCATCTCGTCCCTTCACCTTCTCTCTTGCTGCTCCTTTCATGTTCACACAAACGGAACCAGCAAGTTTACAAATCTTGATCTCAAGTTACAAATGCACGAGTAGTTCCCAACTAATTCATCTTCCTTCACTTCTACTCTCCTCCTTTCTTCTGCTCTTCACTTCGTTGTTATGTCCATCCTCTCCTCTCCTCTCCTCTCCTCTCCTCTCCTCTCCTCGCCTCTCCTCTCCTGCCATACAACCGTAATGCCGCATCATTTTATAGCACAGCCACGCAATCGATGTAAGTTTCAAAAGTTTGAAAGTTTTCGAAACTTCAAGTTTTTCAGCTGGGGAAACTATCAAACTTTCCGGGTACGGAACCGCTCGGATGTTGAAACTTGAAAAGTTCCTTGAGGTGAGGCGGGCTTGGATAATGATGATAATCAGTCATATGACAGTGATATGCCAGCCGCCGAGCCGCGTCAATGCACTGCTGGGCCCGGCCCCCGGCTAGTACCGTAGTACGGCCGCACTGGAACCCCGGGCCCGGGCACGGCGGCGCCGGCCGGGGCCCGGGCCCGGCAGCGGCCGCAACTCAGAGTGGCACGCCGAGCCGGCACGGCTCAGGCTGAGTGGCCCAGGCTACTTGAATTGGCCCGGTACTACTACCGTGACGGTACGCCGCCGACCGTACGGTCACGGTAGACAACGAGGGGGAGCCTGATCAGTGAAGAACAGTGCAAGCCTTCAAGCACATTGAAAACTGCTGTCCAAGTTTGCCAGGTTGCAGCTCAGTGAGGGCGATCAATGATCATGACATTCACTGTACGGTCGGATGATGATCACTGGCATGATGATAGTTGAAACTTTGCCCTAGTACGGCCCGGGAACCGACGGCACGGTCACCGCCGCACAGCGCCGGGCCTCCGGGCCGCGGCCGGGCCTCGGAGCCGGCACGCCGGGCCTCAGTCGGACTGAGCGCCGGCCCGGCACGCCCAGCTGAGCGCCGGGCCGCGCCCCGGGTCGCCGGAGCCTCTGGCAGCTCCCAGCCGGAGCCGGCACCCGGCAGTGGGCCGGGGCCTCGCCCGGTCGGAGCCTCTGCAACATTGGAATTTTGAAATAAATTTCGATATATCTTGAAATATTTGCAGAGATTTCTAAAACAAAACCATAAAAATTCGTTCCAATCGTTAAACCTACTCCTCCGCCATGTCGATGCCCCTGGTCGCAACAACGCACCTCAACCCCCTCTCCGTCCTCCTCCTCCTCCTCTAACGGCTCTACAGGCTATTCCTCTGTGAGATTTCCCTTCCGTCTCACTCCTCTGCCAGCGCCTCGAGCACATACCCTTGCAAAACAATTCCCACCTCTACGTACGGCTCCCCCTTGCCCTTCGCATCTCCACTATCCCCCAATTACCATCTCCTCCTCTTCTGACCCTTCTTCTCGATCCGGAGTCTATACCATCTTCTCTTCTGAACCTCTAGCTTGCCTTGTCGCCCTTTATTTTGGTCCGACCCTGTCTACAACATCGCTGAAACCTAGGAAATACTTTATTGGCTCCAGAAATGCCCAGCTCAGTTCGCTCAAGGGGTAAGAAAAACGACATGTCTGGGAGGCATGGCTTAGAGCGAACGTCCTCTTCGGGGTCGACTCGTCAGGGCAGTGCATGCAGTCGAAGGAAGAACATTGGAGTCAACGACCTCTACTTTTACGTCGAGCTTTGTCACTCGCATGGCCGAGAGGTCGGTCAAGCATGGCTGTCGCAAGCAACGGGAGTCAAGGTGAGCGATGAGGACACAGCAAAAGAACCTGGGATTGAGGAGCTGCAGTACATCACCTGTGAAGGGTTCAGCGATACAAATGTCTTCGAATACCTTGTTTCACTGCTAAAGCACCTGTGGGTTTTGTTTCTTGCAATGCTTGCTTGGCGGCCAACCCGTTCAGCCAGTGAGTGTTCACCCGAGTCGAAGCAGAAGAAGAAGAAGAAGAAGAATTTACACTCTGTGATGAGGAGTATCAAGGAAGAAGAGCTTGCTGGTGCGACGGCTCCACCACAGTCGGCGCTGAGCTAAGTGTCCGGGGGTCCAGTCCTCGTATCTTGCAGTCTGGAATAGACTCCAGGTAACAGTAGTGCACCATGGGTGCAGCTAGACAGTCAAAGCAGACATCTGAAAGTTGATCTTATGTGCAGCAATTCCTTGAAGCATGCAGTGACTGAGAAAAGTACCCCTCAACTTCGTTGGAGCTGGATGCTTGAAGTTGTGCAGTCTTGTTTATCAGCATGTCCGAATCCGGAAGGGCCAGTGGTGACCAGACTCATGGCAAGGTTGTGACGTTCAAAGACGTCCACGCCAAGATCAAGGACCTCCTAGCGTACCGTTCATAGAGCCGAGCCGATGAGGAGGCTTGAACCTGACTGGCCATACAGCGATAAGAGATAAAAGACAGAGAGAACCAACCTCCGAGTCTTTGAGTAACAATGAATCTCATCGGCAAGAGTATGAGGGTTGGTTGTCACTGTTTCTTCTCTCAGAGTCTAAGCCTCCTCTACTGTCCTTGTTGTCCTCGTTATTTTAACGTAACTTTGAGTAAACGGTCAAGTCGGAGTACAGGCTTCGTACCCGATGCGCATTCTAATCTCTCAGTAACGCGGCCGTTGACCTCACTGGCCCGGGAGGGCCTTCCGAGCCTCCTCCCAGCACCTTGCGACCTACTAGTGCAGCTGCTAGTGACCCTCCCCCGCCTGCCGCACCCCGTCCCTCCACGTCAGACCCTCTGACGCTGGCATGCCGACCAAACTCTCCAACTTCTCTACCTCCATGCCGCCTTGCCGCAAGTTGATGTGCCACGGCCCCGTTGGCGGCAGCAAGGAGGGAGGGGGATGAGATAAGAAGGACAGGGAAGATACAGGAAGGTGAATAGAAAGAACAGGGAGGGCAGGGAGGGCAGGGAGGGCAGGGAGGGCAGGGAGGGCAGGGAGGGCAGGGAGGGCAGGGAGGGCATGGAGGGCATGGAGGGCAGGGAGGGCAGGGAGGGCAGGGAGGGCAGGGAGGATAGACACTTGAGGGTGGTTCGACGATAGGGGAGAAGGGGCAAGGAGAGATGGAGCAGAGCAACGAAGGAGTGGGAGCCTCACTCTTATCTGATGACCTGAGACAGATGCAAGGTCATCGCCGGTTCCTGGGAGCAGCTTGACGGTGAATGAAGTCGTCGGAAGGTTTCAGGATGTTGTTGTTCCTCTTGCTCTGACAAGCACTTGCCTCGTCCCGCACTCAGCATGTCGAGGCTGTTCGACAAGCTCGTTGGTGATCACAGACCGAGCAGTGGCTCACAGGAGAGTCTGAACGCTCTGATACCCAACACCGCCGACATCTCACCAGCATCACAAGCGCAAGAGAAGAAAGAGCAAGAGAAGGAGGAGCAGGTCGCTGACGGCAGTGGCGTCAAGGAGAAGGAGCAAAACCCGAGTGAAGCAGCGTTGACAGCTGACCTGGTGGGGCTACACGTAAGCGAGCGATGCCCTCCTGTCACAGCTCCAACAGTTGACCTCGTGGCTACTGAGACTAAAGACTCGATGCATCCCTCGTCGTGGTCGAAGATCCTCATGTCAACCACAGAATACTTGGACTTCGTCAAGGTCGATGAGAGTGCCGTCAGGGTCAAGGATCGCAAGTGCAGCTGCTTCGTATTCCGCGACTTCTCCATCTCACAGTCAGACGTCGTCAAGCTGGAGCCGAGGACGAGGGTCAACAGGTTCTCCGAGATGAACTCGATAGCTGGGAACAAGTGCAGCCTCTTCCGCCAACTGAATCGCTTGCGAAGGATCTTCCCGTCCTCGTTCGACTTCTTCCCCCCGTCTTGGAACTTCCCGGCCGAGAGGAAGCTTTTCCAGACTGTTGTCGAGCAGCGCAAGTTTTACATCCTCAAGCCTGGGCAGGGGAGCCAGGGCAAAGGCATCAAGATAGCCAGGGGTGACTCGGTGATGGGAACGTATGAGAGCATGGGCGCGTCGAGATCTCCCAAGGCTACCAACGACAGTGAGTGTCAGGTGTACCCTCCATGTCGTTCTGACTTGCACAGGCCCTCATCGCCCTCCTGCTGTCTCGTCCCCTAAGAAGACCAGCTCGAGTCCAACAGGTCTTGACGATGCTTGTCCGCATGCTGCTCAAGAAGCTGGCAGGGGGTCGGAGAGCTCATCCTCAAGTCTGTGTGCAAGTGAGAGCTAGTAGTCGCTGCTCCTGCTCCTGCTGCTCCTGCTCCTGCTCCTCCTATCTGACTGGTTGGCGACAGGAGGTGATCGAGCCGCAACTCATCGAGCAGTGCAAGTTCGATCTCAGACTCTACGTTATGGTCTCTTTGCCCTTGTCCTCACTTGCTCCTGACCTCGTCTCCAAGGTTGAGAGCGTCGACCCTCCAAGAGCCTTCCTGTTCCGCTCGGCCATGTTGAGGAGGTACACCGATGGGCGGGGTGCGGACTTGACTTTGACATGCTGAAAGATGCATGGAAGAATATCAGCCGCCGCATGCAGATGTGAAGAACAGCAAGTTCTCTGTGTTGACAAACACCTCCATCAACAAGAAGTATCAGCCTGAGTGGGCCTCCCGCTCTGCCAGCAGCTCCTGTAAGATGCCGCTGCACACTATGTTCGAGACTCTGCGAGCAAAGGTGCTCGTCGACGTGCTGTGGTTGCCACTGACGTCAGAGGAAAGGGTGTAGATAGAGATGACCTGTGGAGTTCGATCATGAAGATAGTTGAGAACTCTCTCCTCGCACTCTGGCCAAGGTTGCTGCTTCACAACCGCTGTTGTAGAACAGAAGACGGGTCAGAGGTGAGCAAGAGTTTTCAGCTGCTAGGTAGACTTTTGTGCACTCTTGTTGGTGGGGACACTTTCTCACCTTACTTCCTTCCTCAGGCTTCGACATCCTGGTGGACAGCAGGAACAAGCCCTTCCTCCTCGAGATCAATTCGCATCCCTCCATGGCTGTCGAGTCCAGCGTAGACTCTTGCATCAAGCGTCCTGTTCTTGGTTCCCTCCTCCCGTGTCTTCCCTCCTCTGACGGCCCGAAGGTGCGATGCTCGGACTTCTCTGCAGGAAGGAGCCCGAGACGCTCGCGGCGATGCTGCCGGAGATGAAGGCCGGGGGATGTTTGTCGCTCTACTCCAAGGATGGGATGGAGAAGTCGAAGCAGATGTAGCGGCAGCACACGAGATCCGCGCACGATGCCTGACCTGATCTTGCAGCTGCGATGACGTGAGCTGGGCAAGGAGGCTGGTGGACCCGGTAGCGATACAGGAGAGCTCTCGAGCTCTGGGGCTCCTCAAAAATGTTCTCCGGGTCTTCGAGGTCTTTCCTGCCTCCCCCACCTCCCTCCCCTTATCTAGTTGTTGCGCAGAGCATCAAACTCCTTGACTCAAAGAACAAGATCATCTCCAGCTGGCACCCTTGCACGGCCGGCAACAACTACTCCGCAGCCGAGAGCGAGTCCCCCAGCAGGATAGGCCCCTACGGGGTCTGGGTCTTTTTCTCAGCTCTGCTGAAGTTGGGGATGGACGAGGAAGACATTCTTGAGGTCTTTCAGATGGCGAGGCCCAAGAAGCGCCCGGTCAAGACCAAGAGAGATCCTCCTCCTTCCCAGCTGAGCTCCCCCAACGGCAGGGACAAGCAGCAGGTCAAGGAGAGGGAGGCTGCCTCCTGACCCCGGAGAGCTGAGAAACTCACAGCAGAAGGAGGAGACGGCTGGTCAGCAAACTGCCTTCGGAGTGTCTCTGCAGGTCACCCCTGTTCTGGGAGTTTGCCCAGCTGACATCCAGCTGGGCAGGAGCTGCAGGAGATGACATGCTCGGGCTGCTGGGGGATCAGTTTTGATCGCTTCATCGATGGAATGCTCGACATCGCCGCCTCGATCCAGGTGGCCCCCAGCACCCCCAGCTCCTCTGCGTCACTCCAACTTCCTCTGCAGGAGTCCAGCTACGGCGACGCGGAGGACAAGCTCAAGGACGATGCACAGGAAGAGGGGCTGATTGCCGAGGTGAGGGAGGCGGGAAGAGGAGGAGGAGGAGGAGGAGGAGGGCTGAGGACAAGGGATGGCCAGATCATGGAAGGGCTGGTGCTGGCGATCTCGGTGATCATCAACGAGGGTACACTGCCGGATCACGTGCAACACTTCTTCACGGACTTGTCGTCTGTCCGTCACAGCGAGCTGAGAAACCCCGCGGACTTCTCCTTGTCCATGGAGGAGGCGATTTCGCCGTAACAGAGTTGTCAGTGGCAGTAGCGGAGGAGGAGGAGGAGGAGCAAGGGGGAGAATGAAAGGAGGAGGAGGAGGGGGAGAGGAGGAGGGGGAGAGGAGGAGGGGGAGAGGAGGAGGGGGAGAGGAGGAGGGGGAGAGGAGGAGGGGGAGAGGAGGAGGGGGAGAGGAGGAGGAGGAGAGGAGGAGAGAGGAGGAGAGAGGAGGGGAGAGAGAGAGAGGAGGAGGAGGAGGAGGAGGAGAGAGGAGAGAGAGAGGAGGGA